TTTGTTTAAACGAAGTGAGAGCAGAGACTCTCCTGAACTCCTGCTGTTTTATGGCTTTTCACGGATCTGTGTGAAAAGCTGGAACTTCTCCTGATTGTTTCCCACAGTTTCCCACAGTTCCCGCAGTTCAAAAGATCTTAGCAAACCATCTGCTGTAACTACAAGTATAGTTTTGAAATCAGAACAAGTTACTGATTTCAAAACTATAATTAGGCTATTTCAATCAAGACATGTTAAGTTTTAAAACTAGCATATTTAAATTTATTTTCTTAACAATTCCCTCTTTTAATCTCTTAAGACAGTGGTTCCCAAACTTTTTTTTCTGCGCCCCCCAGTGGTTTCCAAACTTTTTCTGCGCCCCCCCTATGGATTACAAATGGCTGTCTGGTTGAAACGACGCGTGTGACGGGGGGCATCGACTTCTTTGGGGGCAAAATGAATGTACGTAGCTGAAAATAGACACCAATATCGATAGCCTACAAGGTACTTGTTAAGCTTAAGGTTCTGTATTGATATTAGCTAGTCATCTTTTAGCTAACATTAGCTAGTCATCTTTTAGCTAACATTACCTCCATTACTCAACTCAGTCGGTTAGTTTGGAGGGAAAAACTGTGAAAAGTTCTTTGCGTTTTGCTGGTTTGCTGCCGTGATTCTAACACAAACCTACGTAGCTCCGCCCAGCAGCAGCAGGTCTCCTTCACAGGTGGAAACCCAGCACGAGCGTCGTAGCACTCATGTTGCGTTTAAAGGCGGCTCGGAAAAACAGGTTACAACATGTTAACAACGGATTAAACAGTTTTAACTGATAAAAGTGACAGAGGACACAAATATGGGAAGTGTGGAAGAAATTGACAGCGGAATAACAGAGAGTTGGCCATTCTAAGGTAAAAACCCAGCGCATACAGTGTTCATGTTTTTTTTTTTTTTTCATCCAGACGGCTTCCCGCGCCCCCCCTGCAATGACACGGCACCCCCCTAGGGGGCGCGCCCCACAGTTTGGGAACCTCTGTCTTAAGAGATTACACTCTAAATATAAATTTAAAATATACTATGAAAGCCTTCTAGTTTTATTTATTTCTCTTTAAAACTTCATTCCTAATTAACTAACCTCCTGTAATTTTCCTTTTATATTATAACTCAGTAAACTTAACATTTGAGGAAGCTGCTCCTTTAGAACTATGTTTTGTCAATCCTTTGACCCTCTTTTTATATAAGGCCTACACGATAAATTAATCTTTCCCATCGTGTTGAACCCAAAACGTCCTGTAAATTTTAGAAGCAGTTCCATAATTGCTAATTTGTAGATCTCCAATTTAGACCAATTTAATTTGAATCATCATATTTTCTTGTCACTTTGAAACCTCAAAGAATGATTAGCCTGTTTTTTACAAGAATAAAGTTAAACATGTCACTATATATCAAAAATGATTTATTTTATTCTAATCATAATTTTAAATCCCAAAATTTCAACCATTTTAATCTTTGATCCATTTATTCTTTTGAAAACCTATTCATAAAATATTAAATAATGAATTACCCTTTTTATATTGTTTATTAATTATCAATACATTTTTCAGTTTTGGGGAGAAGATTGATACAACTAAGTTTTATAAATGATGTAAATATTTAGACACTTCACTGTTGCGTCTCGGTCTCTATGTGAGCCGCCTGCCTTTTTTTCATCTCCACTCCACTCATGCTGTGGGGCTTCATGCCTGGATGGAGAAAACACAGTCGAAACACTCAAGTCAATCACAGGGCAAACAGAGAGCAGAAACAAATCAACAATCATGCTCCGCTTTCTCCGCTTTTAGATTACGGGCGATGTTCAATCGTCTGCAATCTGTATCTCTTAACCAAAAGCAACTTAGCGTTGTAGGGGTTGGGTTTTCTCCAGATGGACTTGTAGAAAATCACCATAAATTATAAACCTTTGCTTCCATTGGAAAGTTCAGAAGCCACTTGCTGACCTTTTTTGGTCACAGATACCTTGGATGGGCTGCGCTTAAATCAGAGGTTCCCAAACTGTGGGGCGCGCCCCCTAGGGGGGGGCGCCGTGTCATTGCAGGGGGGCGCGGGAAGCCGTCTGGATGAAAAAAAAACAAAAAAACATGAACACTGTATGCGCTGGGTTTTTACCTTAGAATGGCCAACTCTCTGCTATTCCTCTGTAAATTTGATACAGTAGAGGCTTCCACACTTCCCATATCTGTGTCCTCTGTCACTTTTATCAGTTAAAACTGTTTAATCCGTTGTTAACATGTTGTAACCTGTTTTTCCGAGCCGCCTTTAACATGAGCGCTACGACGCTCGCGCTGGGTTTCCACCTGTGAAGGAGACCTGCTGCTGCTGTGCGGAGCTACGTAGGTTTGTGTTAGAATCACGGCAGCAAACCAGCAAAACGCAAAGAACTTTTCACAGTTTTTCCCTCCAAACTAACCGACTGAGTTGAGTAAAGCTGTTGGATGCTGTTGGTTAGCTAAAAGATGACTAGCTAATATCAATACAGAACCTTAAGCTTAACAAGTACCTTGTAGGCTGCTGATGTTGGTGTCTATTTTCAGCTACGTACATTCATTTTGCCCCCAAAAGTCGTTTCAACGAGACAGCCATTTGTAATCCATAGGGGGGGCGCAGAAAAAGTTTGGAAACCTCTGGGGGGGCGCAGAAGAAAAAAGTTTGGGAACCACTGGCTTAAATGAACTTTGTTGTGCTTCGGTGCAATAACTACAATTGAATTACAATTAACATAAAACATCCTGATGATCCCCAAGACTTTTTGAGAAAATATTCTGTGGTCTGACGAGACTAAAGAGGAACATTTTAGAGGGTGTATCTCATATTACACCTGACCTAAACCCAAACAAGCCAAAATGGATGTGGCCTTGTAAATTTCCAGATGTAAAAGCCGCTCTGATAATTATTTGTTGACTCACACATTATTTTCAATTTCAAAGAAAAAAAAGGGTGGGCCAAAATTACAGAGCCAATTTGGTTTAAAACGTTTTCTTCTTTCTTTATTCATGGTTCATTGTGGTAGTAGAGCTAGTACATCAGTGCTGGTGATCAGCAGCGGTCCTCTGTCAGACTGCATTAACCCATCACTCTCTCCATGTGTCTGTCTCTCTCTGAGTTTTATGTTTCCATAGACGACTCGCTGGCACCGGTCGCAAGTTTCCTGTCTCCAGTTCTTGGATGAACTTTGTCATCATTCCGTCGGCCAGGACACCCTGAACGCCTCTTCTGCATAAAAACATCAGTGACATCTAGAAGAACAATTTTAATCATGAAAAAAAACCTAAACAACAAATATATCATTCTCTATATTAGTCATTTGTATTTGTATTTTTTTAAGCTAAAGAAGGAACCTAATGAACAATCCATCTAGCCTTTAATATCGAAGCTGAAAACTACTTGAAATTGTTTTTTGCTCCTTTTGCTGCCCTCCAGAAGAACTTCGCTATCCCCTCCTCTTACCCCCTCCTCCTGACCCTTTCAATACACCCAAGAGCACACACACACACACACACACACATACATACATGTGTAAAAGTGTGTGTCAGCTCACCCACAGCAGCAAGCGCCCGTTGGCCATGTCATGACTGGCAGCCACACGGTCACCTAGCAGTTTGACGGGATCGTCCTCCTGGTTGATTGGGACTTTAGTTTGTGTTTGTGTTGTTTAATCTGCTGGAGAAAGAGCAGACAGGTAAGGGGCTCAGCACATGATGGGTGGAGGGGGTTGTTTTACACGTGCATGGCTTTGATCGCTGCCCGTAGTCCAAACCCAACCAATAGATCGGTCTCATCGTGCTATGGTTTAATTGGTTGAAGCCCATTGGGTTGATAGTGTGTTATTGCATGAAGTGAATGAGTTTGCAGTCAGAGAGAAGACAACAGCTGGGTTTTTGCAGGGTATGGGGGGAGGGCTGCCCTGGGCTAATTTTATGTGCTGTGTCATGAGCCTGTACACCCCCCCTCACCCCTCACCCCCTCTTTACCAACGTCCCGACCTTATTGACGATCTAATTTTCTAACGTCTGGATCCATGTGAGTGCGGATGCAAGCAAGTATTTGGATTCTTAATGGGTGGAAATAATTCAAAACAAAGTTGTGTCATTTATAGCCTGCAGTACATACCAGTCAAATCTCACTCACAGAGCAAGTGTGTGTATGTGTGTGTTGCTGAGGGGATTCACTGCACAGCACTAGCATGTGGTTGGTGGTTGGACCGACCAGCTGACCCGCTGCACGCTAAATTGGTCTCCCATACTGAGAGCGTCTGAGAAGAGTGGGCAGCTCGTTTTTCAGCGGTTGAGGAAATGTCGCAAACTCCCTTCACACCTTTTGTTGAGCTTTGGAGATCATGATGCTTGC